AGCGTTGTATCCCTCAAAAGCTCTTTCAAGGAGTGGCAGAGCCAAAGTTTTATAAATCATTGCTTGGCTTGCAAAATTAGGATGACTCTTGTCAAAAGACCAGAAGGAGAAGTCATAACTGAAACTGTAAACTTGGTTTGTGGATGGATTTTGTACAATTGTCTCTGAACCACTCATGGAGACCACAGGGAATGAGTTTTCAGTTTTCTCTCTGAATGGAAAAGGTGGGAAAATAAAAAAATATATAAGCTGCACGTTTTAAGTTAGTAATTTCACTGTCTGATGGAAAAATAAAAAAAAATCAGTGATCATTGCTAAAAATACCTGTTAGACAAACATACAGAGTATTAAGGTTCAAAACACTTTTGTTAATGAATATGTAAAAAAAAAAGACCCAAACACCAATAAAATCAATTCAGTTTCTTAATAAAATCTATCTTGGTGTTGCATGCAGCATCAGCTAATTTCCAAGTATGTGCTATATCCTTATTGGATCAATGATGAAATAACTCAACAAGAACAGAGCAGAACTCAGCACACACTGTCAGCACCAGCAGTAAGTCCAGGATACAAACCTGTTACTGAAGGGCCGCACCCGCACAGCCACAATCACTTTGCTGTTCTTCACTTTGAAAGCATCTTCCTCAGTACTGCTGCTCTCAGCTAAAGTTTCTGTGTTCACTTTTGTTTCTGAACCTGTGCTCACAAGAAGAGAGCTGGAGACACTGGGGAGTTTCTTGGCTAAAATTTGATGAGGTGTTTGTTCATTTGAGGCCGGCTTGAGAGATGGTTGGTCTTGAGAAGTGCTGTTCTTTGGTGTAAGTGCAAATCTTTCTGTTAAAACTTTTGCTGGCGTCCTTGGTCTTTCCAAGCTGCTGTGTTTTATCAAGTGCTGTACCCTTTGCTTTCCAGGTAGCTTATTTATATTGCTTTTTTCATTCAGTTGTTCTCCTGACAGCCTATTAGCACATTTTGAGGTAATGAACCGTCGTTCTGATTTAGGAGCTTCATTTTGAAACTTTATGTCAGCAGTGCTTGTCTTCTCTTTTAAACAGGTGTTGATAGCATTTTCACAGACACCACCAACTAAACCTAAGGAACCCTTGCTGCTCAGGTTGTGCTGCAACTTGGTGCTTGACTGACTCTCAGTTAACTTCAGGTTTGGTTTAACACTATCTGTACCCTTAATATTCTGTGGAAGTGCAATCTTGTCATTTCCTTGTGCATCAAAGCCATCATTTCCTTTTCTAGGCACAATATTCTGATTAATTTTACTCCTCTCTGTGGAGCCAGTCCTCACACGCCTCTGCAGAGTAAGTCTTTTCTCTCTTTGGAGCTCTTCTGTACCCTGTGCTGTGTCACTACCAGACACTGATGTTTTGCTTGCTCCAGTTCTCCTCTGGAGTGTTAATCTGCCTTCCAGTTTAAAAGAAGTTGACACATCACTCACTTTTGCACAAGCTGAAATCACATAGGTCCTGTTTGCTTCTTCACTCTCACTCTGAGGACACGAAGGCAGACCATCCTTTTCTCCCAGCACCTGTGGCCTCAGCTGCTGCCCAGGTGCTTTAGTGCTGGCCAGGGTACTGTGTGAGGAAGCCTTCTGCAAAGTGGCTGTGCCTCGTGGCCCAGCAGGGCTCCTGGCAGGAACTGTGTAAATAGGCATCTTGTCTTCCAGCTAATTAAAACCCAAATGTTGAAAAGTACAGCGCCTTTCCTAAAGGATTATTTCTAGTTGCTGCTTTGTGAAGAATCTGGGGAGACAAAGTAAATAAAATTTTATGGTGTTGATGTGCAGTGTGAGGTATGTTTTACTGCATGGGGAGCTCCTCACATATACTGCAGTACATGTTCCCAAACATTAAGAACAACTAGTATCCTGTTTCACCTCTGGTATTTTAAAAAAAAATTCTTTTATAACTGAATGACTGCTTCCAACAAAAGGCTGTTTGACTTGATTTTTTGAGCTCTATGATTTGTTTCAGAAAGTAAACCAAGTATCACAAAGAAGCACCAGTTAGTAAAAAGAACAAACTATTTAGCAACAAAGATGACCATGGACATTTCTTCCAAACGATCTACCATGATTTCCAAACTGAAGACATTCTAGATCTTGTTGCCATTCATTCACATCTATTTACACTCTCTGTGTTTCACAGCTAACAGACTCCAACAGAACAACAAAGTTAACCTTGAACAGAAGTCTGTGAACATGGAAGGAAGATATTTTTTTCCAGGATTTTTATAAGCAATATATAACCCAGTATTAGAATAGGACAGTTAATAAAGATGACTATTAGTAGTAACTGTGGATGTTATTTTAGTTCATTCTGGTACATAGACGCATAGCAAAACAAAAGATACCTGACCTAGGGGACAAAACAAAACCATAAAGTATATTCCCTGTCCTTTCTACATGTAAATATTCTGAAAGCTCTCTCTATATATAATCTGTATAGGAAAGCACATTTTCCCTGTTGCATCCGCATCATAGTTATTGGGTTTGATATCAACACTCACTGCAGACTTGTCAATTGTAAATTCATTATTACAAGTCAACAAGAAATCACCTACCTTTAATCCTTTTAAAACTGCAATATCATTAACAACAGCAGTAGTCAGGGGAAAAAAAGCAAAGCAAGATGAGAGCAAGTGATGTAGAAGAAATCGTTTAGCCACTGCTCCAACAGAAGTTTCCTTTAATGTTACACTTTTAAGCAGTAGCTTTCAGAGTACTCTCAGACTTTGTGCAATTACATCCACTTACACATGTCATGACTGTATAGTTTCCATAGCTCACAATTTGTGAGGAAAATATCAACGTTTCAGAGCAGTGTATTTATTGCTCAGTCCAGTTTCAGACAGGAAATTCTGTTACATGACTAGTAAAATACAGACCTTGTGGTTCCCTCTAGCAGTCAGTAAATAGAGAAACACGGATGTAAACTATGAATGGTGTGTTTTCTGGAAGTCCATCCTTTCCGTGCAGCTTTAACATAATTCTTGTAAGTTCTCCCCTCCTCTAGCCACAGCTGTGCCTTGTGAACAACAACAAAGTCTTTCTGGTGAAAAGCGAAACTCCCTTTTAAAAGCTCCTCTACAGGAAAGAATGAGGTTCAGTTCGAGAGACCTGAACTCAGAACGAGAAATACGCTCATCCCTCCTTTTTAAAGATTTACAACCACTAACTTAGATACGAAAGGCAAGCGCCCAAAGCTGGAGCAACCGGCAGCTCTGTTGTCCCTCAGCAAAGCCGCCCTCCCTCCCTGGCCGAGCCCCGGCAGACCCCGCACGGCCACGCTCCCTCAGGGAGAGGGCGAGGAGGCGGCGGCGGCGGCACCGCCACACGCGCCGCCACTCCCCACGACCCACAGCCCCGCCGAGGAGAAGCCCCACCGGGACGCGGAAGAGTCGTCGGTCGGTCGGTCGGTCCGTCCGTCCGGGCCGGCCCTCACCTGAGCGCGCCCCTCCTCAACCGCCGCCCCGCAGCGCTCCGCTCCGCTCGGGCCCCGTTTGAACCAGCCGGGCGCGCCCGATTGGCTCCGCGAGGCTCCGCCCAGGCCTGGCCCCCAGCAGCGGCCGCGCCGGCAGGGGGCGCCTGGCGGGCCGGGTGTGAGGGCTGAGGCGCAGGCGGTGACCGGGCACAGCCGCGGCGGCCCGGGAGCGCTGCGAGCCCACCCCGATCCCAGCCAGGGCCACCCGATCCCAGCCAGGGCTATCCGAGCCCACCCCGATCCCAGCCAGGGCCACCCGATCCCAGCCAGGGCTATCCGAGCCCACCCCGATCCCAGCCAGGGCCATCCGAGCCCACCCCGATCCCAGCCAGGGCCGCCCGATCCGTACGGGCGGCCTCAGACCCGGTACTGCGCCTACACCGCACTGCCGTGTGTAGCCAAAGCACCAGTGAAAAGGGGAGAAAAAAATGGGTGCGAAAGGAATTAAGAGAACATGTTGCTATTTTATTGCAAAGATTTCATACCTTCTCGGTGGTTTCTCATGGGCAGCTCCTCACAGCACTGACTTTTTCTTCTTCTCAGCACAGCCAACAAACTCCACCTCTCACCTCGGCCATCCAACCTGCTCTTTTATAAATACCCCTCTTAATTGAATACAGCTGTGGCCTATTAAGAGCAGGCTTGTTCTTAATGCTTGATAATTAGCACAGCTGTAACTCCTTAGGGGCCAGATTACCTTCACCACTGTCTCTATTCTCCTACCTTTTATCTAACCACAAGAACACGCGGTGGCTGTGACACTTTAGGTAATGCTGGCACTCCAAGCAGCACCAGGGCAAGAAATAAAAACAGAATCCATGAATATATATGCCCATAACAGACACATTGATAATAAAATATATTGTACAAAACCATCTAAACCCAGCAACAATGAGAAAGCTTGTTTGAGAAAGCTTGCTACAAGATAACTGAACCAGGTTGCTGACACAAGTTTACAGAACCTGTACTTGCACTCAGTTTCTGGGGCAAACGTGGTGTAGAACTGTTATTTGATTCCATGATTTGTTGAACAAAATTTGTGGGATTTTGGTACAGCAGGGCTGCCCATGCATTTAAACATACCAGTGCTTAAATTGGTCTGCAGGAGACTTAGAAAAAAACATTTTATAGGCAGAAGTGGATTATTTCAAATAAGAAAAATCAATTAATTCCATCTCTAAAGAAGACATAACTTTGATTAAATAAGATCAAAATTATAGGTTTTATCTCACTTCATTACACTAATAACAAACTATTTCTGGTATTGCAAAGTCCTTCAGCAGAACTTCCAGCTGGTACACAGGCACTAATGGAGAAACTAAACTTTCAGTACTGTTCACAAATAGAACTTGCATGTCTGTTCTTGAGAGAGCCCAAGAGAGCATGCTGAGAACTTGGAGAAACATTGCCAGTGGAAGATTTTACTTAAGCTAACAGGAAGAGATTTTCAGAGCCTAAACTGTCACTAATTCTTTTTTTCTTGCCAGCAAGACCAAGGACTACTGGTTTTGAAAAAGAGTTCCAGAGTAGTTTTACTAGGTACTACAGTAATTCAAGCACACAATAACACATTTCAAAATAAAGATGAGATAAAAAGGAGACTTCTTAAAAACTGTAAAATTTCTTTTTAAAATACAATATACAAGGCAACACTTCATACTTATTGTAATTACATAAATATGCCTTTATTACCTCTGAGAATTATTTTTGCTGTGTTTTTTAATAATGTCCATAATATTATCTCCTGTTACGAGGCTATTATTTAACTGTTTAAGTCTCTGTTGTTCCCTTCTCTTCTGGTCATGCAGATATGGGGAATTAAGCAGCTGTGGGGGAAGAATGGTGCCTGTAGGTTTCACTCTCTTCACAACATCCCAAAAGAGCTTCTTGCTGTTGTTATTGATGAAAGTAATTGCAGTTCCACTGTGACCCAATCTCCCTGCTCTTCCAACCTGAAAAAGCATAAATTCATTTTAAGTTAGCAATAGTAAACATAAGTCCTTCAAGTAGTCTCAGAAGTTTTTTTTGTTACAAAACATCAACTAAACCTATGTGACAGGACCAAATCTCTCTCACCCTCTAAGCACAAAGGTACTTACAACAAGCTTCCTGAATTCAGGATGTGTAGATCTGAAGCTGTTGCTGAAATGCATTTAAAATTAGGACTTGTTTATGGGACATACCAGAAGTCCCATATTGATACTGAGATATGAGGCAAAGGCTTACAGTAAATCTGATCCAAACTAAAAAATACTATAGTTTTTAAAAATACTATTGTTTTAAAAAATACTATAGAGATGCCAAATACTTCACATCAAACACAGTATGTGCCACCATGGCCACAAAAATGCCCTGTACTTTCAATGTCCTAGTAACTAAATTATTTACCAATATTATCCAAAATGCTTGAGCAAATTAGAAAATAATCCACAAAGGCTCCCTATGTAGAAACAGCTAACATGCTAATATTGGTATAGTTTTGATGCTACCAAAGACCATTTTTATTTACTTAATGCATGCTTGAAACTTTAGCAGAAAAGTAATGAAAAACAAGAGGGGAATTTTGCAGTTAATAACACAGGCTACTTGAGTTCATGACAGTGGGTAACTTCCAGAGGTCCTCCTCATCTGTTAGGAACCAGGATTACTTCAAAGTTAGATCAGTTCCCTCAAGGCCTTGTTTCAAGTGTCTGAAGCACAAAGGATTTTCACAGCGAGGGGAGTCAAGCAGGGATGGGACCTTTCTCCCTGCTATGAGGCCACAATTTCCCTTGCAGAAAGCTACAACTGCTGGCCCTTGTCCTTTCCCTGGGCATCCTCAAGGAGAGTCTGGCTCTGTCTCCTCTGTAATCACCCGAATGGAAGGCAGCAATTAAGTCTCTAGAGCAGCCCAAACAAGCCCAGTTGCCTCAGCGTGTCCTCAAGTGTCACGTGTGCCAGCCCCTGACTTCACCTGGACTCCCTCCAGCCTGCTGCCTTTTCCCACAGCTGATGTTCTCAGAACTGCACACAGCAGCATTGTGTCTTCCTCATGCCACAAAGAGGGCAAGAATGAGTTCTCTTGATGTGCCAGCTAAAGTAGGGCTGGGGACTGTGCACATAAACGCACAGACACGTGAAACTCACAGATCATCTCTTCTAAAGCAGGAAATCCACAGAAAAAATATCAGAGGAGACACTTGACTAGAAAGAGGGGAAGAAATCGAGTTCATGCCTGCTGTCCTGACTATTAATGCATATGCCACACTGCAGATGAGCTGCACCTGCACGACGGGCATTTGGCCTTTCCTGACATAAAAAAAGGTAAACTTTGTTTTCTATAGACACAAAAATATATAAGAGAGTACAAAACAGGAAGAAATACACTGCAAAAGTGACTTAAAGACACTCTTCTAAGTTTTAGTAACTTATGCAGGAGATAACAGGAATAGTATTCCAGATTTGAGTAATTTACATTAAAAATTACGGAAGAGATATCCAGCACCATTTTTTCTTTTCCTGTAAAAATAATTCTGAAGAGGAAAATGATCTTTCTGTTTACATTTAAATTTCCACAGGTGAATGTCACATTTCAATATGCTTTTCAAATAAAACATTAGCAATTTATTTATTTACCTGGTGTACATATTCATCCATACTTGAAGGCATATCAAAATTCACCACCAGTTTGACATTGACAAGGTCAAGCCCTCGTCCAAGGACTCCAGTACTTACTATAACTTCATACTTCTCTTGAAGTAATCCCTGGCAAGAAAGGAACAACCCAAAATTAATTCTTCATTCCTTATTTGTATTTTGAACTTCTCCAAGCATGGGTTAACATCTAGTTATTTGGTGTAAGAACACACCCAGTGGGATTATTCTATTGTAGAAGAGAGAATGGCTCCCTGTACTCTTGATTTAAACAGGAATATAATTCAGACAGATAACCAAACAGAGATCAAACCCACAATTTTAATTGCAAACATTACCAGGTACAGTTAAATGCTTATTTAAATTCCCATTTAAAATAATCTGAGAAACAGTCTCTGTATTTATCTACATTTAAAACAGGATTATTATCTACAGTTTTGCTTAGTCCCGTCTTTCATCTCACCCAGCAATACCTCAGGTATTACTGCAAAAAAGCAGTCCATCATGACTTCAGTCATTCAAATAAAGCCACATTTTAAAAAAAGGCCATTTGAAATCTACCAAACACCCTGAACTTGAGCAGGCACAAACCTGTAATATGTCTGTTCTTTCCACCTGAGACTTTTCAGAATGCATAGCTGTGCACTGCAATCCTGTAATCTTATGAACAGCATCACTCAAAAGATCTGCTCCTAGTTTACAGTCCACAAACACCAGCACTGGAGGCTTGAAGAGCTTGTTATCCTGTAAAATTAAACAGTTTACTTAAAAAGGGATTACAACCTTTAGCTGTTCATCATCAACATGGATTCATTTTGTCCTGATCATGAGATGAGAACCTGACAGAGATTTGGAAATACATGAATCATTTTATAAATGGCTCTTATGAGAAAAACATTAAACTTACATTTAGTATTTCAAACAGTTTTTTCTTTTTAGATGGTTCTTCTACCCACAAGATAATTTGGCGAACATTGGAACATGGCAGATTCTTCTCTCCAATTGTTATTCTGACAAAATTGTGCAGAAGCTGGTTTGCCAAGTGCTCAATGCCCACTGGAATCGTGGCTGACACCAGTATGGTTTGATGATCATGAGAGATGTCTTCCAAAATATCCAAAACTTGCTGCTGGAAACCCATTTTTAGCATGGTATCCACCTAAATGAAAAATATTGTATTTGTACCACTTTTTTTCCATGAACAGCAGGATCCCAAACCTCAATTGACAGAAGAACCATTATGTAACATGTAACAATCCAAATGCAGGAGCATTCACAGTCAGAAGAAAAGCTAAGTGAGAAAATTATAAACAAATGGTTCACACTGGTCTAACAGTATTATCCTGTCAGGTACCTAACTCTTTACAGCAACAGAACATTTGTTGTTTAAACACATTTCTAATTGTGTCAAAAAATAAAACTGTCTCCTAAGAAATTTATTTTATTCTTAAACAGTCAGTATGTTTAATAAGTGAGATTAGCCACTCACATTACTCTGCCACGACCTCTGTATAGGTAATAGAGCTCTGATAAATACTTACTTCATCCACCACTACAATTTTTATGCCATGCAGTTGAACAGAACTTTGCTTTAAAATCTCAAGAAGTCTTCCAGGTGTTGCTATTATCACCTGAAAAAAAAAGGGAGAGGAAAAATCCCCACAGGAGTAAGAAATTACATGAAATGACAAAGGACCATCCTAGAAAAACCACAAAATTCCATCACAGACATAACAATAGCAGTAATGCACGACATTTTTGCATTCAAGTAAGTAATAAAACTTCTGGAAAACTTATAAATTATGAAGCCCTAAGAGGAAATAGACCTGGCAAAACTCTAACGGAGGTGTCTAAGTTACCAGCAATAAAATTTGCATAAAAACAAACTGCTTTTTCCTCTCAATTACAACTCCTTGTGTAAAAATACTGGCATATTTCAGTCTTTGAAGCAGCAATACCACATACGAAACGCATAACAATAGCAGTAATGCACGACATTTTTGCATTCAAGTAAGTAATAAAACTTCTGGAAAACTTATAAATTATGAAGCCCTAAGAGGAAATAGACCTTTCAAAACTCTAATGGAGGTGTCTAAGTTACAAGCAATAAAATCTGCATAAAAACAAACTGCTTTTTCCTCTCAATTACAACTCCTTGTGTAAAAATACTGGCATATTTCAGTCTTTGAAAGCAGCAATAACACACACTAAACTTTTTAAAAACAAACAAACAAAAAAAACTATTAGATGTTTAATCAGAAGCAAAAAAGCTTTTTAAAAACAGTGTAACTGTAAAATTTTCAGGAGGTAACAAATGTTTCAGCAGTTCAGACTTAGGAGAAAGCCATGTTGTGTGTTCACAGGTGTCACCAGTAACATTTTTGTTTCCTGTGGATGTGATGACACCGTGGCTCTCCACTCTGGGTCAGAGCTCACCTTGACGCTCTGGCGGAGCCGGTGCAGCTGTGGGGGCAGGGGCAAACCTCCCACCAGCAGAACTGTCCTCATGTTGGGCAAGCCGGCCATCAGCTCCTTCGCCTGCCGCTCGATCTGAATGGCCAGCTCCCTCGTGGGTGCCAAAATAAGGGCACATGGAGTTTCTGTCTAGAAAGGAGAGGAAAAATCTCATTAATGTGGGATTTTATTTAGATAAAAAGCTTTCAAATTTCCCAAAGTAATCTTTTACATGAAAAATGAGAATTATTTTAAGCAGCAAAATAAAATTACTTCTCTCTATATATATATTAACTTATACAGAGCCCTGAAGATGAAGCATGGAAAAGAGTGTACAGATCCATTTTTTATTGAGACCCTAATTTTGCACATATTACTATAAACATGTATCAGTCTTGCAGACTTTCATGATAATCAGACAGAGGATCTACTGGAGTGTACACACCTTTTCTTACCTACTTCTACATAATGCTTTCATTCTGAAACTTGAGTTTACCAGTTGCTAGAGACTTTAAAGAATAAAAGAGTTACTTAAATAATCTTTCAATTATTAATTTGAAAAAATTTACAAGTTTGTGTGCATATACATTCTGTAAAGGTATCTAAACAGTGCAAAGCATCACTAAAATCATGTTCCGAATTCTCTAACATATTTTTATGCATCTCTTTTTGAATAAAACCCATAAAACAGTTCACCACCACAAGGTACAGAATACTATTGCTTCTATTGCCATTGCTTCTAATCATACGTTCATGTCCTTACAAAGCAGAAGTTTTTTAATTCTTTTTCCCACATTATAAAAGTGGAGCCTGTGTAACTAGAGGATTTTTTTTACCCAAAATCCCCGCAATTATTTGCCAGTCAATCAAATATATTCCAAGATAAATTACTCTGTGAAGTTATACAAATTCCAACAACTCTCTTTGAGCCATCTGATATATGAAGATACAGGAAGAACTTACAGAGGGCCTGGAATTATTTTTACTTTCTATTTTAAGTCATTTAGGAAGTCTACCAGAGAATTTAACTAACTGTCTCAACAAGCAGGAACTGTGTAATAGGTAATATTGATAGAGCAGCTTCATCTCCTGAACAAAGCGGAAAAACATTCAATTTAATTAAAAATAATTAGCATCTCCCCCCCTCCAAGAATCAAATGCTTAATCAATCAAAAGTCAAATCAGTGAATGTTAATGAAAAACACTGCAATCACATTTTTCATTACATTGGGAATCCAACAGACAAAGCTGCAAAATGCTTTCTCTAACTATCTGAAGTTTCATTACCTCTTTCAAAACCTTCATAATAACAGGAAGCAGGAAAGCTGCTGTTTTTCCAGAGCCTGTGTCAGCACTGGCCAGAATATCCCTCCCTAACAGTCCAACAGGGATCATTTGCATTTGGATGGGAGTTGGGACTTCGTAGCCAGAATTCTTTAAATTATTGTTTAAAGTTTCAGGAAAACCACAGTGTTCAAACTCTACAATAGGTCTTGGAACTTGCTGGCCCTGGACAGCAATACCCAGCTGGAGTTTAAGGTTCTCAACCTGCTCATCCTGCAAACTTAAAATAAAGGAATGATCTTTGTAGAAATAAGGTGTATTAAGGAGGTCAGCTTCTGCTTGAGAATCTGTGGCTTGATCAGATGTTAGCTGCCTTTCCTTTGCTTCAGTTTGTAGAAGGTGTTTGGCTTTACACTCCAAACTACAAACATCTTCATCTGTTTGGTCGCAGATGTACTCCCCGTAGCGGCCGCACACAACACACACAGGCTCTCCAGGCTCTGCCCAGCGCTGGGATTTGCTGAAGGATTTTATGGGTTCTTCCAAAGAGCCATCCTCCTCAGTATTTTGGCTGTCCTTTGCCAAGGATGTATTAGCAACACCAAGGTCTGCAGCTGCAGGTTCTGTGTGTCCTTGTACAATTTCACTTGAATTGTCGGTTGAAGCAGAAGTTTCTGTTCCAACTGACTTACAGTCCTGGAACTCTGTGATCTCCTCTAGCGAAGGTCCTCCAGAAGACAGTTTACTTTTCTTAGCTGTACAACTTTTGTCCTCATCAGTAGCCCTCTTGACTTTAACAGATCGTGGTAAAAACATGCTTCAGTACACTAGAAAAAAAATGGTTACAGTTAGAAACTACTACTATTGAAAAAGGTACATTTTACTGTTATCACAAAAAAAAAATCTAGCAAGTATTGGCAAACACAGAAACTAACTCTCAATCCCTGAAAAGATCTAGAATATGCCTTGTTTTTAAATTATCTTGATTATAACAATGGTGATGCAAATGTGAAGAAGAATTTTAAAATAACAGTGGAAGCATGGAACAATATAGAGAATACAGTTAATTGTCAGTATGAGGCCTTTGCAGCTGAGTAAAAACTTAGCTTTTCATTGTGAGGAAATTTATCCATTTTGCAAGTCAGTCATATTTAAATCCTTGGAGAGTTCACCTATTTCTAAGATGAAACCACAGATGCAAACATTCTTCTAAGGTATGGAAAAAACCCAATCAACCTAAACTAAGTAAAATGATCAGTTTTGGAAAGAATGTCAAATTCAATGCAGGATCCATCCAAGATCACTCCTTTTGTTGATCTTTTCAAAGTCCACTTAAAATTATAAGGCTGCAAACTTTTGAGATTTGTTTAGAGTCCAGCTCTGCTTGTTCACACTGTCCAGAAACAAGCGAAGAGTCACACCATCAATTTGCCAAATATAAATTGTAACACAAGACATAGTAAATGATCTTTTCAAAGTCCACTTAAAATTATAAGGCTGCAAACTTTTGAGATGTGTTTAGAGTCCAGCTCTGCTTGTTCAGTGTCCAGAAATAAGCAAAGAGTCGCCCCATCAATTTGCCAAATATACATTGTAACACAAGACATATTAAGTGTTCAAAAATAACCATATTTTATATTCTGAAACTTTCAGTATTTGTCTCCAAAAGCATCAGATATGCTGATTGTATGATAGCAAACAATCGTTTGCTATCATACAATCAGTAAAAAAGTACACAAAACACGGCAGTTTCATCCTGAGTAAATTGTACTGCGCCTACCAGTCTCTAGGAACTTCTAACAGGAGATTTTTAAAAACACACCAAGCTAAGTCTGCGCACAGAAGCTGTGTTTGTGTAACTGGGAGCAGTGCCGAGGACGCGGCAGCAGCGCCGGCCCGAGCTCCGCGGCTGCCGGGGCCGCGGCTCCGCCGCGCTGCCGGAGCAGAAGCCAAAGATCACCACTGAACTGTTCGCGCCTGATGAGAATCTCCCACCACGAACCTCTCTGCACGCTCAGCAGCCTCCGGGCGAGGGCAGCGCTCACGCAAAGCGCGGGGCTGACGGCCGCTGCTCGGGACGGGCCCGCGGGGACCCCGGGAGCACGACAGCCTCTCGCAGCCCTGCTCTCCGGCAAGAGCCACCCACCCCACGGGACAGCAAAGCGGCGCGGGGCCTCCTCTGCCCGACAACCGTGCCGCCGCCGCGGGCGGAGTGCGGCCCCGGCCTCACGCACCGCTGCCGCCGGGCCGCGCCGCCTCCCGCACAAAATGGCCGCGGCCGCTGCCGCCTGTGCCGCCTGCCGGCCTCGGCCGGTGCTGGGGCCCGCAGGCGCGGTTCTTACACACTAAATCGCATCCGCCGCCCAGTGTGCAGCAAGGCAATGATTACACACTCGAGAGAGACATTGATTATTTATCCCAGAGTTGCGCGAGCCTGGGTGCGCGGGGTACTCCACAAACCAAGCACGCCAATTATCAAAACTTTTTACTATTTATACATTCTAGCCGACAAAAGAAATTCCTGTTCATTGGCTAGCAGTTACATGGTTCTCTTAATTATCAGAATTCTATCGTTTGTTGTTAATGATTCCCTCATTTGTTGTGCTAATTAGTCTGTGTGCTCAGTCTTTCTCTTTGGGTTGGTGGGCCATGAGTCGGTGGTCGTGACTCCCCTGCCACAATTACCTTTTACCCAGCTGGAGCTGGCTCAGCACGGTTGCTGAGTTGTCTGTATTAGTTTCTTCCTTATCTTGGGAATTCTGTTAAATCCTGCATTCTTTGTGTCCAGTATCACTGGACATCCTTCTTCCCAGGTTTTGCCAACCTTCCCATAGGTCTGAGGTCAGTGGAATGTGTCATGCCCTAAACTGTGACAAGGTAATTCTACCAACAAGTAATTTGTTTTTCTAACATCTGGACATCACTTAGAGCTTGTTTGTTAACTGCTCTTTGTTTCATTAATTAAATTTCCCTTCTTGTTGATTAGGCTTGAAAGTATACAAAGATCAAGCAAAGAACCACTTTCTTATGAAAATTGTACATAGCAACACTGTCTCTGCAGAGGGGCATGTCCAGCGCTCCTGCTGTCACAGCCAAAGTTGATCCTCCAGACAGAGATGCTACAAACACACATATTCGTACATGAGGAAAACGTTCCTGCAGCACAAAATGAAGCCATAAGGTACGCAAGAAAAAAGCCCAGTACATGCCCTAACCTGCTATGATGGGCACAGTGACAAAGCTCTTCATGTACTTCAAACTGAGTAAGTTATTACTTTCAACAATAAATAAGCATATTTACACTACATTACAAGGCATGAGAACACAGAATTTATCACATTTCACTACGGGGCAGAAGACACTTTCAGACTTATGGATAACCTGTGCTTTGCAAGACAGCCCAGATGTGACTGCTGCCCCGGGCAAACCCAGGTTCATGGCAGAGTACTGGGTCTGGATGTGTTCCACTGAGAACACTGATGGTTTCAGCTGCTTGGCTGTTGTGAGCAGGGTGGTCACTGCCACTCACTCGCTTTCCAAGGACACCTGTGACCTGTCAGCCTGTCCCAGGTACTTCCTTACAACATCAAGACCCATCATAGGTGGTGTCACTGTGTCTGTACAGATCCTGCGTTGGATCATGCAGGAGGACCAGAGCAAAGTAAAAGTATACCCTGTGACCATAAATTATTTAGTGCACAGCAAAGATATCCTGCAGGGAGCTGAAGAGAAAATCATAGATCCTAACAGCCCCTTTGGAAGCACAATTTAATGGCAGTCCAGAGAACCAGTCAGAGGAGACAGGGATATGGGGTGAAAAGACAGACACAAAGCTGGGGCTTTCAAGCAGCTGCCTACAGCATTCTATAACATTCAAGTCCAGTCACACCTGAAACATGGTCTATCTTAAAGTACCCTGGATTCCTCTGTAGTAGTTTGCTACAAGAATAGCAAAAACAAAGTGCAAATAGGGGGTTTGGTCTCTCTGGGCTTTTTAATTAACTGGTAGAATTGAAAAGATTATTGAACATTTGGAAAGTGGGCATCACTAGACTTAAAAATGTGCAGGCACCTTCCACCCACACTCCATACATTCCTGTGAAAATCCCCACCTTTCTCTGATTCAGCCTCTGTCATTCCCCTTTGTTTGCACTAACTTTCTTTCCTTCATTTTCCCTCCCTAACAGAAGCAAATTTCCTTTTCTTACTTCCATTTTTACAAGGTCATTTCCTGGAATTCAAAACATCATTTACTAAATAAAGACCAGTATTTCAACAATATTTAATATGATATGTTTCATACCCTATACAGTCCATGCAGCAAAATGCAAACATCCTACATGTATTTTTAAATTTTTTTCAGTGCGCAACAGCAGTAAGAAAAAACTAAGTTACTTGGTAGGAAATTCTCCTCGTGAGGAAGACTACAGTAGAGATTGAAAAAAATTTTAGAAAAGAATTCTATGGATATTCAGAGGCATGAAAGGGCTTCCATACAAGAAACAACGATGTAGACTCAACAGTCTGAAAAAGAGATGACTAATAACAGGTAACAATAGAGCTACTGTACCTTGAGTGGCTCATAAAGGCTGGACAGCTATTGCTAGTTCATTATTTCTTCCAACAAAAATTGTAACATGCCTTATAAAAAGTGCTCACTGCTGAAAAGTAGTGCAAGCTCCCACAGAATGTAGTAGGTTATTCCTTATTTACATGGAGAAGTCAATCAGTATAGATGTAACAAAACCTCTTCTGAAACAGATATTGTACCTTGTGAGCTCACTGAATAATTTTTTTTTTTTTCTGGAATAAAGCATAAACATTCCAGTTCAGTCACTTGCCTAAGTTTTCTTTCAGAATGATGAAATATGTAAGAGTAAGAGGTGCCTTGGTGCATTTAATTCCCATCCTCTCAGCTCTTGTTGCTGCTAATCAGATCTGAGGTGAATGACATTTTAATAGGATTTTTCAATTCCAATTTTTGTACCCTTAGAGTACATTAAATGTCCCAGACAAGATGCTCTCAGATAGGCTACAAAGGGGTTTGTCTTCATATTTTTCCTCCTAAAAACTAGTTAGTTCAAGCACTGGCTGAATAAAGGTGGATTTAAGTCCTGCTAGAAAACAATGAGCAATTATGGACAGTAATTTTTGCTCATTCTGGACAATTTATCTGGGGGTGTCATAAAGAAAAGTGTTAAGGTTTCCATGGAAGTAGGGTAGCATTTGTATTTTGTATGATTACATTGTTACTTAATTGAGTTGGTAAAACTCAGAGACTTTAAATATTCCCCTCTTGCCTACACTCGTGTACAATAGCTGCTCAGAAAGGTATCACGCATTGTTATTAGAAAGCTCTGCACAAATATAGTCCTTAGATAATTAAACTGTCTCTTCAGAGTAACTTTTAAAGTAAATATTAGGAGCTACAGAACTGTAACAATGCATACAGAACCCCACATGTACAAAAGGACCAATACATACTGACAGATTTACTACATAAATATACAGCAACAGATTATTTCAACTTTATGCAAATTTCTGTTAGAATAACAAAGACCGTAACTATTGATTAAAAGTCAAAAGAAATAATGAAAACCATAAGAAACAGATTATTAATAGTAAGTATCCCACTTTATGGTTTATTTTAAATTATATCAAGATTTTTTCATGTTCACTCAAGGTTTCTATATCAAATACACAAAAAGGATTCATGCTCTGAGTTTAAAAACAGGCATTTGCCCTATAACGTCTCACAGCCCTTCTTTTGAAGCATGAATCAACCTTTCCCAGCACTTGCAAATAATAAATAATTCAGTAAAACAAGACTGGATTAAAGCAGGAGACTGAAATCCCTCTACTCCCAGGCACAGTAAATCCATAAGAAACAGGCATTGCATGTATTAATTCAGAGACAGCATCACAGGCCCTGCAAAGAGCTGCCTGACTGCACCATCTGCCCCAGCTCCCCACTGCGATACCGCCCAGAGTGACGCCCCCCAAACCTCCGTGCACCTCCCCTCACCTCTGGAGCTCCACACAGGGGTCTGAGGAACAGATAAAACCATCCCAAAGGGTAACTGTCCAAAACATTTTAATACAGAGTATTTCAAGTTTCCTTTGTAGCCAAAATATCTTCGCACAATGCCTGAATTTTCCACCTTGAGTGAGCTCTCAGCATATGAAAATCTGCTGAGAATGGACTCAAAGTGGAGTCCAACCAGCACCTCGTGCATCACTCCCTCAAGTGGCAAGTGCCAGGACTGACAGATCTGACAATTAAAATGTGTCTAAAATCACATCAAGAGGAACAGCTTTGGGTTCTCTTTAAGCTACTCATTCCTTTAAACATCTCAATATGTATCCCATATTACATTATTCAAAACTAGGGAATTGAGAGCCTTGCTGTTGCTGTTCAATAACATATAATGAATGAAGAACATTAGGTTTATGAAGATGTCAATTAAAGAATACAAAAATTATTCTCTGTGTTTGCTTTTTTTCAAGCATGCCACACTTGAATACGTATAATTGGAGTTAACAAAATATCCACTGCTTGGGTGGAAAGGAGGGAGAATGTCTTTCCATTCAGCAGGCATGGAAGCCACAGTATGTTTGCTTGGGGTCTGCTGTCTGTGTCTGCTCCACCTGATGCCAGAAAACTAAATATTTTTCTTGTTAAATATTGTTCTGTTTATTTAATGCTTGGGGATTTTGAAGCCACTCAGCACATCTTTTAGGTAGGTAACCAACTGCAGCTCTAACCCAAAGTGTATTTAATGAATAGTTCTTTGACTGAAGGAACCAGTGAGTCAATTACTCCACTGGTTTGTGAATTGCAGCTTTAAAGGAACCACACAGGAAAAGTCCAGACGATCTAAAAACAAATAATTGTGGCTAACCATTAACTAGACAATTCATATTCTTGTCAAAACGTTCTGATTTTGTACAGGTATTGCATGCAGTATACTTGTTCTGAGGCCTAGTTTTTCTACTTTTGTGTGATCTAAACAGGAAAATCCTACATTTTTTGAAAACAAATAGTCAGTAAAAAAAAATTTGAACTAATATTTTCAGGCTTCCTGAGCACTCTCTTTATTTGAAGAGCCACATTCTAAGGAAATATTGGCCAATATTAAGCCTCTGCAGAAATCCATGGTAAAACTTGAACTTAAAAATAATCTAATTAAATCTGAGTTCTTAAAGCATATTAGTGAGGAGGAATTTTTTTAAAGAAAAAAATAAAAAAACCCCACAAATAACACCAATCCTAGCCTGGAGCTTCAGCATTAAATGCCACTAGTCTATAGGGAAATAACTCTATAGGGTGATTAATGAAAAAATGATGAACATAATTAATGTATGTGATTATATGCTCAAATACTGCACATAATATTTACTTTGAAAAATGATGGACTCCCTAATTCAGTATCATCATACTGTTAGCACAGCTATAAAAACCACAGTGACTACAATTTCCAGCCTTTGTATACAAGATAGTCTAGCTTCTTGCAATTAAAAGAAATTATTTTAGGGTATGAGAATCATTTAAACTAATTTAAACGTACAGATCTCTGTTAGGTCTCTGAGACTTAGAGAACAAGGATTTCATCAAAAGATTGCAAGCACAATTGCCACATTCCAGGGATTTCAATAGGCAGCAAACTATAACCTAGATTGTTAAAGAATTCAGGTGGAATTTAACAAGATTAAATAAATCTTGAAACATAATGTAATTAGAATTAAGAATTTAAAATTCTCTCCTTTTCTGTTAATCTATTTTTCTTTCTGAGAGGATAGATTTGTGTTCCAATTAGTAAGTCTGTTTGGAGGCAAAAGAGATTGGCATCTATTCTAACAGTAAGATAACATTCACACAACATGCACTTACTTGAAAGTAAACCCCTTTTTTCCTCCTCCTTTAGGGTCTCACACAAAAGGATTGGAGAGAAAAAAAGAAATTCCACAAGAGACAACAGGAATCATCCAGTTCCAGCTTGTCAGATGTCCTGTGTCCAATGTGTGTTGCCACCTGCCCATGAATAAACTCTCTTTCAGTCATGTAACTTAAGAGATGAAGACCTTTCTAATTCATCAGCAAGTGTGACAAATATAACAGGTACATTGCATTTGTAGGGAGTGAAAGAAACAGAGTCAAAATCCAATACTGTGACAAACTGAAGAAAAGATTTATGGTATAAACCTTTTGAATAAATTGTTAATAAATTTTTCTTTCCACCACTAATGCTTCTACCAGCACTGCTAGTTTTGGCAGCAGAAACCACTGCAAGAGAAGCCTGGAATATGTGCAAGAGAGCTGCTACAAACCAGACTTTTTATCAGTTCTCTTGTTAAAATATCTGCCAGTATTAACCATTGGGTTTAGCCTTCATGCTTTCCTACATTACATTTGGTGCTCCTTCTGTCTCTTTATGAAGGATTACATTGCCCTAGTTGAATCCCTCAACAAAAAAATCACTAAAGGGTACAGAAAGGCTTTAACTACACTTTTTTAAATTGCACACTCAAGGATGTCAGACTGCTGGAGTGAGACCAACAGGTTTGTCCTTCTGCAACTGTTACTTTCCTAAACTTTGTTTGTTGTGAGAACACGCAGATAATGCATTAGCTCAGCTTGATAAAGCACAATGGCTATTAAAAAACAAAAGTAAGCCTGAAAAATGCAATATATTTCTCACTATCATCCTTGAATGACTGCTCCCCATGCTTTTTATTAGGAAGATTCAAAGATGCCAGTAACCTTACAGCTGGTGACTGTAATAGCAGAGGGTAACAAGACAGAAATAATGAATGCCTCCTTGTTAAGCAGTGTTGTTTGTGCTGTTCCAAGAAAGATCTGCCAAGAACTTTTCATGCAAACCTTATTTTTCTGGGATCTGTAACTTGGCAGCAAAAAAATTCCAGGATGATACCCAGTTCAAAATAATTCAGATTACAAGCTTTAAAATATATTTTTGATTTTTGGAACAAATTAAATTTAGACTAAACAAGACAAACACTTTAGTACTTCATGTATTTTGATTGCTTTATTGAAAGAAAATTTGTGGTTATCAAGTTTGCACCTCAGATAATTTTATGTTTTCTAGCTCTTGGGTATTAAATAAGTCTCAAGTACTACAGTGTGAAAGGAGACTTTGTGCTGTATGGTCAAGATTTCACTGAAGTGTATTTTCTTTTTAAGGAAGACTGTATGAAATACATATGAAACACTCCTTATTTTATCTGCCAAACAATTCAGTGGAATAAATCTGTGCTAATTCTTAATACAACTCAGCTGACCTGGGTATAATGCCAGGTTGTGGAAAAAAATGGTTATTTAACATTTAGCCCAGAATTTCAATGTGAAATTATGTCAGGTTGTTTTTGTTTTGTATTTGAACAAATGATTCAAAGCTTTGAGCCACACAAAAGTCCAATTTCAGTGTACCCATTTCATTTTTTGCCTCTTGACTCATTACAACCAGCTAATTTTGTAGAGCTCCTGGCCAAAGCAACATTCTTTCCTGTGGCAACTAGCATGATATGCAGAAATTAGATTTCAGGCACAAAATTAGATTTCAGCCCAAGCTAAGGAAGCTTTCTATCAGGTAATAGCCAGGTGTCAAGAAACAAGAAGGCTGCCATAGTTGCCTGAGTACTGGAATTGGTGGCTTAGCTTACACCTATGAGGAATAAACCTCCAGCAACTCAAAACTAAAAGGAGATAATCAAAACATATAAATATCATCAATATCAATTACTTTTTCTTAATATATATGGTGAGGTCATTTCAAGGAAACACCAGAAAGAACAGGCCAGAAAAAAACTTAAAAAATATTCTACTGATTTTCCCTAGATCACGTTATCCCCCAAAACAGCTTACAGTTGGAGACAAATCAAAACTATGCAAGTCTATGAAACCTCAGTTCCTTTGAGATTATTTGCAAATCAGCTAACATGCTGGGTGTACAAAGACATTACCATTCTTGGAGAGTTTGCATGAACTGGAACTTGGAGCAAAAGGCAAGGCTGCCAAAAGGCTCCTGTCTTACTGACACTGTCTGCTCTGCAAGGAGCCACAAAGGGAGTCAGTGGTTCCAAGAGGGTGTTGGCCCTGGGAAGCATGACATGTCATTCTTTAGTGATTAAAGAGCCAGCAGAAGCCCAGACACCATCTCCATTCAGATGGCTCCTAACCTTCTGTTGATACACAAGGAACCTGTTCTCTAGCAGCAGTGAGGATATTTCTGTGGGTTTGGGCTCTTTTAGATAACAAAATCAGAGCAATGTAGTAATCAAAGCCCTTTTTTTGTTACCCTTTGCCTAGTCTTACAATATCTAACACCTGCATTATTCTCATTCTGAACTAAAATGGTTCATCAGTCTGTTCAGCATTTGCACCATGGTATCTTTGTCTTTGACTACAAGTCCTATGATGTGCTACAACATAAATAGCATGTGGTTTGGGGTTTTTTCTGTTTCTCTTGAACTAATCCATCTCCAGTTCATCTCTTTACCCCCAAGGAAAATCAAGTTTTATTCTTAATTATATCAGTACAATTCCACTTAAGAGCTTGGTGGTGAAAGACAATAAAGCATGGCTACATGCCCTCTACCTTGAACACGCTTTCTTACTGAGACTGTTTTTGCTTCCTCAACACTTTTGGTGACCATGACTTACTGCTTTTCCTACTTCTCAAAGTGCAGACTACCAACTGCAACAGAGACTTTCAAAGGCCCATTTCAACAGTTACCCAATGCATAGCAAAATACTCACTCATCTGAACAAGCTGGATCTGTATCACATACTGGCACATTGCAGTGAAATCTGTTCTGTTGCCCTACATTCTCCAATCTGGCAATTGCTTCATTTCTGTTAGGAACAAATAAAAAAGGAGGAAAGAGTTTGACACAAACACAGAGACTTGCCAGATCAAAGGCAATAGGTATAAAGCCCAGCAAGTTTCCCTCCTTGTATAAAATCTCCAGGTGTTGCTTTTGTTGTTTCATGGAATGATCCCCTTAATTCAACCCCGTGCCTGCTAGCATCCTCTCCCCGGGTGATTCTCCACTCCTTTAGTAAATTACCATCCATAAGAACTGAACTGTGGCTGCCAGAACAAACCCTGGGTCATGGGGGGCTTCCTGGCTGTACTGAAGTGGGAGTCCCAGGGGTACTTTGTCTGTCTCAGGCTGCTTCCAGGGCAGTGGCCATCACCTGGGCTCACACACCCTGAACAGCAAGGCCAGGGCCTCCTTCCTCCATCCACATCCAACTAGGCTGGTGACCAGAGAGAGCTCTGTTTCCAGCACCCATGAAGACAATGGACATTTCTCTTCTTTGTGCCAACAAGTGGAACCATGACTGCTCTCTCCAGGCTTTAATAGAGCCATGTATATTATAGAGCAAGAATACCACAGGAGGACAGAATAACCAGAGAGATGAGCCCCTTTGGACTTCATTTCTCTTTTGAAACTTTCTACAAGAAAGAGACCACCCAGGCTTTTTTTTCTTCAATTACAAATAAACTGCATGACCCCTTTAATCCAGAAAACCAATTATATATACACTGATATTTAATCATGTCTGTAGCACCAGTGATTCTGAATAGGAGCAACACATAGGATTAACCTGAAATTAAAAAAAAATCCTTGTTGGAGCCAAGATTTTATTGCTAAATATATATATCCACACACATTTGGTTTAAGGCTAGTATTAAAATAATTGTTGTTCTTTCCATGTTTCTCATATATATTAAAATTGGGGAGTATTAAATCAAATTGTTCTGTACATGGCTTAAATATCCCATACATTTTTCTATCTTGAACATGTTTTCAAATGAATCATAAGGCAAACACCCTGTAAAGCTACTCAGAAATTATTATAACAAATTAAGTTATGCCAAAAGAGAATTAAATGTAACAGAATTCTATACACTCAGGTTGTGATGACCTTACTGTGTGTGCATAAATGGTTACAATAAAAATCTTTGATATACACTTTCCATGACTGATTTTTAACAGTTACCAACTATGTACACCTGCTCCCTAAAGTAACAAAAAAATCCTCAATAACATGCAATTTCTCAGTAATTTAAGAGAAATGGAAACACCCTGAAAGTATCTGAGAAAATTTGGATTATATTTCAAAGACATAAGAAAAGCCCAACTTCATTGGATAGTTTTCCATGCTATTCCCTTGCTTTCCCTTCCTCATTCATCTTCTTTACCACCTCTTAGAACCTTCTTAGAAGAAAAAAGAATTTCACTGCAATGAAATGATACCAGAAAGGTACTGTTCAAACACAGCATTCTCTTTACTGCTGCTCTCATTCAGACACACATGAGCTTCAGTGCAAACTGGAAGCAGGGCCAAAACATGGGAAACTGAAGTCTATTCATGCTCTTCTAATAAATGATGTATATGCTCAAAACAAATGAGCTTTTATGAATGTTCAGATCTTTCTTCACATGTAGATGCAGCACAAAAAAAGCCAGTCATGGCACAAAGAAGTGCACGATTTTGTATTCACTCTCATTCAGACTTAGTCAAAAAGTCTTACCAACTGATTTAAACTTCTTTTACCTGAATGTACAGTTTGAAAACTAGAGTCATGTCATTTTCCTCTGAACTGGGATGCAAAGAAAGCATTACCTAACAACAATAATAACATGGTGCTTTATTTTTGTCCAAAGTATTTTTCTGAACGCAAGTTCCCCACCATACATCTATTTTACAGTGCAGCCAAGCCTTTAAAGATTATATTCATTAAAAATCACCCTCAAAATTTTCCGTAGAAAACACATCAGGCACTAGGTGGTCATAAAGATATATAATGAAAGAGGGTAGGATCTTTTCAATATGTTTTAAAGTTTACAGTAAAAAATACAAGTTATAGCACAGTATTTTTTTACTCACAGACAACCTGGCAATGGTGGAATGTGAAGAAGAAGAAAGCCCTGGAATTAGGGAGTATTGCACAGCATATGTGGGAAGACAGCTCATCTAAAACCCCCTAGAACAAGAGCAATTCCACCAGATGGGAAGAACACAAAAGAAGCCAGTGGAAATCTGGAAATCAGATTTTAAAAATAAAAAGCAAATTTTAAAATCTCAGAAAAAAAGACACCAAAGTAACCAGAGAAAAAGACAAAACAAACCAACCAGTCCTGAGTGTTGAGGGAGGTTAGAGGTTTTGCCACAGATCTGTTGTCTGGTTGGTGACCCAGTGGAACTGCTGGGGGGAAGATGTAGATTATCTCCCCCCACCTCCCTTTGCAGAGCTACACTAGGTCAAAGTCAAGTTGAGGAAATGAAACCAGTAGCATCCAAGTATTAAAAGAAGTGACTGTTAGGTACCACCCTTGATTTTTATTGAGCAGCTTTTTTGGTTGTGCAGATTTCAGCAGCAGTAATAAGCTAAAGTAGCTATTACTCCAATTTTTTTTCTTTTAATTTTAATTGTATCAAAAATCACAGCTGATTCAAGTAAAATGTCATACAAACCTTTATTTTCCCTTTGGCTCATGACTACTAGAATGCATAAAGTTGGTAAACTGTTTTCGTTCCTCAGCACTTTCTGATTACAGATTAATAGAAGAATTTGAAAGACAGTAATTATGTAACTGTTCTTGTACTTTTGTATCATCCTGAAACAGGAAGAACACATTCCCTTCTAAAATCATGCTCTGAGAAAACTCCTAACTTGCAGAAACAACATATATGTATGTTAGTAATAATGGCAAAGCACTTTATTCATTCAGACAATCGTTCACTTAATTATCATAGAATAGCCTGGGTTAGATGGGACCTTAAAGATCACCAAGTTTTAAGAAAAGTGTTTTTAGGAACTGCTAGCTCTGGTCAGCTTCTTTGTCCCTAAGGACAGTTTTCCAGGGAATCTCATTCACCAACTCCCAAACAACTAGAAGTTTGTTCTTTCAAAGTTTGGGGTCCTGACTAGGCTCCTTGCCAGGCTCACAATCCTCACAAACTCCACCAGGGAGTGGTCACTGCAGTCCAGGCTGGCACCAGTTTTAGCCCCTCTAATGAGCTCATCTGCATTGGTAAGCACCAGCTCCCATAACCCTTCTCTTCTGTAATGCCTGGACCAGGAAAATGTCTCCACACACTCCAGGAGTCTCCTAGATTGCTTATAGCCACTGGATTGCTATTTAAAAATATAATTTCTTAACTCTTTACCACTACCTATAAAGAAATATATTTAATAAAATATCATGGTTTAAGAGGCTGGAATATCAATAATTCCATTTCATAAGTCATCCTTAGGCTGTAATAACCTCACCCAATGATTTGTAGATTACCTGTTTAACCTCATGTATGTAACACAAAACCTGCTGAAGTCAACAAGTACATTCCTCAGGGATCCCACTGGGACATGACTGGTTCTTGGTTTGTACACTGACAATCTGACAGCACCACATCAAGTCATGCATGCAGCCTCACTGCAGAGGTTACAGGCCACAAGGTGCACCCCTCCCCTCAGCCAAATCACTTTATCATGACTGATATCCTCTAAGCTCAGGAAAACAGATGGGATCATCTTAATTAGGCCAATTTGATAACAGCAATCAAAGATAATATGCCCACAGTGTTACTCCAAGTCTGTTTCCAACCTCAAAAGTGAAGCATTACTCGGCAGAATAGTTGCTGTGAACTGCTGTGTTTGTGGATTTGCCCTAATATAGCTGAACTGAAGTGGGAATGTTTTTACCATCAGGTAACCTGATAAACTGGCTGTTCACTAGCACCCAGTCTGGCTACAGACAGTGCCACTACAAAAACAGCCATGGTATTTCTAACTTAAAGCATTTTACTTTGCCTTTGTCATCAAGTGTTGTGAAGGAAAAAAACTATGCATGAAATGTTATTCCAGATTGAATGCTGTACTCTAGAGCTGGCCTGAAATTAGTCTACAGGCTCTATGCTACACATAGCCTCTTCAGAAGTTAAATGAATTTTAAAACAAGTGGAAAAAAAAGTATGAAATTGTTAGTCAGGACTCGTTCCACTATCTCCCAAGGTTAGAACTACTAGAACAACTGCCATCCACACCATTATTCACAGCTTCATGGTCATATTGGTTCCTGTTGCCTGATGCTCACTACAGGCTTGGTACACCCACTGTGAAAATGGCCAGACACATGACAGTGAACAATCAGGCTTATGATGTAATCACAGGATGAAACTAGTCAAATGGGATTTCTAATTTGGAGTAGAGGGGGGCGAAAGGAAGGGAGAAAGAAGATAAAAAAAATAAATATCTGTGAGATGCTTGTTTGAATACTTGCCTTTAATTAATGCTAAAGTATAGAACACCGTGCAGCAGAAAGATTGCATACAGGAAGGATTATCACTATTTAAAATGTTTCAAGATGTATAAACAGGATCAGAGCAGAAAGGGATGACTCCTCATTTTGTTTTCCTGTTTATTTACTCGGAGCAATTAGAGCAGATTTTAATCATTTTCCATATTGGCTGTTGATATCTTTGACATTGCAGTAGGCAAGATGACATTTTGGCATGTTTGCAAAAGTAGAAGAACTGGCACAGGCACTCCAGCAACCGGTGGTGATGTCTTCTTTTGCACTTACTTATATTAGATTTTATATTAATGCATTCTCTTTTAAGAGCACTAAGCAAGTGAAACCCCACTTTGATTGCAGTTACCACAAGACAGCTTTTTTAGATTTTGTTTGGTGACTCTGAACAGGTTTCACCAGCACAAGTGCTGCAGCCACAAAAAACTCCATTATAGTTAAATAATAGCCCTACAGTTTTTCCAACATGTTTTCCTATAGGCTGATCTAATTTTGAGGTATTTTCTCAGTCATACAAGAAACAAATGAATTGGGATCTGGAACATAGTTCTTTTTTTTTTTTCTCCTTAGCTCTAATCATTTGAGGTTTTAAAGCTTATTAATTTCAGGTGTTTGTTATTAAATATTCAGGAAGAATTTTAAACAATTCCTATTGGCAGTGTAAAAAATAGTTAAAATAACGTGAAGTCTCTAATGTAACTTATTTCCAAAGTATGCATAAAAAATAATTCAGGAAAATGTGCAAATATTAATTATTGAAAACTAAGCATATAGTCTTTCTTAATAGAGAACATTTTCCAAGTGCACCTGTATATTAATTTGGTGTTATTATTACTATTTCTGCTGCAGAGAATCTGGGAATTTCAGTCCTCAGCCTGCTAAAGCAAGGATTTCTCAACTTTTCTCCTCCCCTCCATTCTGCTGAGTACTGCCCACAGTAGCTCCTAGTTTTGTAGCTGGAGTGGTATGCATGACAATTTGGGAATCCCATCCCAGAGAATGTATGGGGAATACTCAGCAACAATTTCTTCAAATGTTGACCTCCACAACCCCTTCATTTACGCATTCCTAATGAATATAGCTACACGTCAGTAAAACTGTTAAATACTCCTGCCTCATAATCATGATGTTTGTTTCACTGTGCACCCAAAGTGCTAGAAGCACACACAACAATAGAAAAATCTCCGTGGAGATCAATTCACAGTCCACTTGAAAAACAAAGAAATAACAGTCTGGCTGGAATATTATTTGAAATCTTACCATGTCATGTTTAGACTTTGTCTAATTATTCTTTAGGGGAAGCAGGGCAGATTTAGACATTACTGCGAACCATATACATGGTGTATATATATACATAAAATAACAATATATCCACAATAGCCAGCAATAACTATTTGCTGCCAAAACGCGGGGTTCCCACCGCTGGGCCGGCCGATGACACAGCGGCCGTGCCGAGGGAGGCACAGCCTCCGCCAGCCTCCCCTCCTCAACGCGGCCGCGCCCTCGGACCCGCGCTCGGCAGCCAACCCGTCCAGTTCTGCTTGAGTCATTCATCACGCAGTTTCTGCTTCCCACCGTGACTAATGCTTCCCTCCAGCAGCCCACGGTGATCCTGCAAGCCCCCCAAAACGGCCCAGGTACCTTGAGCAGGACAGGAGATGGTCTCTAGGGCAAATCGCTACTCTTGCTGCTATTACAGCGATTACGTGACCAGGCCATGAACCATTTTAAGGCTTTGACATTTTTTTACCCGAGTATTCTCAAAGTTATATATAGACCCGATTTAAGTTTGGAGGGACAAACGCACTGGGCGGGGGATGCTCAGCCCGCCTCCTCGGCAGCGCTCCGTGCTCCAGTCACCGCGACCCCGGCCCGCCGGGCTCCCCCGGATCCAGGCGGCTCCTCAGCCCCCCTTACAGACGAGGCACGCGGGGCTGATCCCGACCTTTCCCGACAACGCCGCAGCGGGCCCGTCGGGCCGCACTGTGGAGAGCGGCGACGCCGGGGCGGGCGGACCCGCGGCCGAGGGACACCGCCCTTTCCCAGCCTTTCCCAGCGCCGCCGGCGGCCCCTGACCGCGGGAAACACTCCCCCCTCCTCCTCCCGCCGGGCTGAGCCCGGGCTAGGCCGGGCCGGGGGCCGCGGGCAGCCTTGGGGAGCCGGCTGTGCTCCCGGCCCGCAGAGGCCGCCGCTGGGGCGGTGCGCGGCCGTGCGGCGTTTTGGGGCCGGAGCCCGGCGTTTTGACATCCCGGCGCTGGGAAGGGCCGCGTCCCGGCCTGCGGCGGCTGCGGGGGCCCTGCCGGCGGCTCCCGCCCCGGGCCGGGGGACTGGCGGCCGCCTGGGGCGCCCGGCCCTGGCCGCAGGGTCTGCCCAGGGAACGCGGGGCCGGGGCCGCCGGGGGCATTTTTTCGGAGGCGGAGGGACGGCGGCGTGAGTGAATTGAGACAAAGAGCGAGGAGGAGGAGGAGGAGGAAGGAGAGGACGCTCGGACTCGGCTACATTCCTGTGCAGAGAAAGGCGGGAGGCGGTGTTAGCCCTTTACGGACAGCTGGGTCCGGCGCTGCTCTCAGCTGCTGCCGGCGTATTTACAGCCGGCTCTCCCGGCCGTGGGAGGAGGACGGAGGAACAACCATGTAAGTTCCCAATTGCCGGGGGTCCTGTGAGAAGATGGGGGATGCCGCAGACGCCAAGGAGATGAGGAAGACTTTCATTGTTCCTGCCATCAAACCCT